TTTTTTTCCCCTCAGGTTGGATTCTTTATTAAAGTAAAAAGAATCAGGGCCTGGAGCAATAGCTCATCAGCATAAGCACCTGCCTGGCAAGCACAAGGTCCTGAGTTTGTTCCCTGGTACCTAAATAAAAATAAAGTAAAAAGAAGCAGCCATTGTTTTCTTTGTAGCCACTTGCTATTATGTACTATAAGTATTAATAAAGTTTTAATAACATTTTCAATTATTTGAAAATTTTGCTTACTAAGCAAAGATCCTTGCTAGGATTTGGGTGGTGAGTCACCGAGGAGACTCCGAAGACCTAGCATTTGTTTCGACCTTTCCCCTCTTACCACGTAATTTCCATGGAGAGATCTCTGAGTATCGATGTCTTTGTAAAATATACCATTGAGGATGGATAAGGATAATCTTTCATATTCTTTTCAGCCAAAACTTTTATCTACTTCTCATCGCCATGTTTCACATCATTGTGTGTCAGAGTTACTGACTTCTAATAAATGAACGAAGGGCAGTTGCTGGCTTGAGTAAAGCCTGCCTTCTGGGATGCATTGCTCTCAGACCTTCAGCCCAACAACCACTGATGTGTTGCCATATGTTAACACTAATAAGAGAGTTCTTTGCACTTTGTTTCCTTTGTTTTGGTATGTGTCCTGCAGAAACAAGCTCAGTACCTCCTTTTGATGTTTTCTCCTCCTCCAGATACAGCAGCAGCCAGAGCCCACAGCTCACATGGACGCATTCCTTTATGACGAAGACTTTATTGATTCACTATGTGAGGAAGGAAGGATGAGCAGAAACTATTGTATGGTTTGTGGCTCACGACAGACAGCACCTTTAGGTGGGCGCTCAAGTGGCCATTGACTTTACGTGTGCTCTTTTCTTACATGCCCGGCGTGTACTAATTGTTGACCAGGCTAGTGCAGGCAGGCATAAAGGTGTCCGATGGTATGGCCATTACTAAATACTACAGTTAGGGAAGAATAATATAAGAAACCTAGGCCACCATATGTACCCCTGAGCACACCCAAGAACTGTTCAATCAGAGGTGGCTCTTCAAGTACAGAAACTAATCGGACATGACTGAATACAAAAGAACTCTGCTTACTCACAAGGTTGACATAAACCAATGCCAATTTATTTGCAATAAGAAATGTAACTTCCGAGTCCTAGCCCAGGTCCAGTGAGTGTGTGGAGAGCTTCCTGCTACCCTGCGCCGGCGGGACCAGTCCCAGCCCAGGCGCAGAGTGGGCCGGACCCTCTCC